TACTTGCCTTGACTTCGGCTAAAAGAGTGTCCGAGCTGACCGCTCTGTCGGTACACCCAAGTTGTCTTTTGATCCGGGGTGACCGTAGCGGGGCGACACTCAGGCCGAACCCCTCCTTTACTCCTAAGAGTATCAGAAGTTCATTCAGATCAAGGGCTATTCAGTTAGGTGGCTTTAATCTTCCACCCCATATTGGGGCCAGGGAGGCTAAATTGCACCTCCCCTGCCCAGTGCGTGCGCTAGCATGCTATGTAGAGCGCACGGCTGCCATTAGGCGCACTGAACAACTGTTTGTGTGCTTTGGGGATGGTGTGGCTGGAAAAGCCCTCTCAAAGAAGCGCCTAACAGGATGGCTATGCGGGTGCATTGCACATGCCTATGGACGGGCGGGGAGAGCCCTCCCCACTGGGGTCCGTGCACATTCTACACGGGCTGTGGCTGTGTCAACAGCCTTATTCAGCGGCGTGAGTGTAGAAGATATATGCACGGCGGCGTCTTGGTCTACGCCAGGCCCCTTCATAAAATGTTATCTCCTGGACATGTCTGGCTCCTTCTCGTCGTCTGTGCTTGCCGAGGCAACGCATGACTGGTGAGAGGGGGGTGGCTGTGGGTCAGCAGGTATCTGACCCCGCCCCCTGGACATAAAGCACTTGTGTTTTCCCATGCTCCTGAGGGACTCGGGAGACATGGTGCGCAATCAGCCCCATACAGGGCTGGAGGACTCCCTTCCTCACTATTGTCCATGCCCACTCTACACAGAGCGTGTGTGAGTGTGGGGGACGTGGTGCACTTATGTTTTCCCATGCTCCTGAGGGACCTGGGGAACATGGTGCGCGGTAGGCTCCAGACGGAGTCTCCGCACAATTTTGTCCATGCACACTCTACACGAGGTAAGCGTGTGTGAGTGTGCCTTATCCAAGTTGCGGCCCCGACTTCTCCACGGTTACAACCGGATGGGAGGAAGTGGGGATGCAGTGGATGTTAGCCAAAAGCCGGTCAGGGACGGTGTGGTGGGTCGATGTTGTTTGACGACAGGGCGTTTATACATCGGGGCTCCGCCCACTGTACCCATAGAGTCCAGTAGAGGGCGGAGCCTGTGTGAGATATAACGGGGAGTTACGTATTGTAACCCTAGTTATATAAGCACAGGCGGAGCCCTCTACCTGGGGGCCCTGTCTTTCCTAGTCCGCTCGCTGAAGAGTGTATAGGATAGTGGGGCGGCGGGCCTTATATACTGTTGGCCTGCGCGCGCATTCAGGTAGGCTCGCCCCGATTGGCCGGCTACGTTTACGTAAATTCAGTAGGTGAAAGCACGCACAGCATGATAGAGAGTAGTACCCATAGAGTCCAGTAGAGGGCTCCGCCTGTGCTTATATAACTAGGGTTACAATACGTAACCCCCCGTTACCTTGGTTGGTGATTGGCTAATGGTTACACAAGCCAAAACATCGTTATGACATCATAAAGTGGCCAAAATCTGATGAGCTCATTTTCAGACAGGTTTTTATATAAATGGATCAGGACAAAAAGAGAGAGAATCTTTGTTCCTGAAACTTTCAGAGTCTCTTTACACAGAGGGGACACATGTTGATGTAGAAGAGACATGAAGAAGAGGGGACACATGTTGATGTAGAAGAGACATGAAGAAGAGGGGACACATGTTGATGTATAAAAGACATGAAGAAGTGGATTTAGCTTAATAGGTGACCTTTAAATCAATAACTGAAAATGACCATAACCAAGCATACGGACCGCATTGTCTTACTGAACCGATGAGCGGGTGGCTGCTGTGCTGGATAAAGGAGGGAACACAGCGGTGGACCTGGGGGAGGTGGCTGGAGGATATACTAGTTACAAAGAAAAGCCATTTAAGTGAAATGTTTAATACTAACTAAAAACTAATGAAATAAAAGTAAAGAGAGGAAAACGCTAAGGTGATAAGGATTTGAGAGAATACAAAAAGGGGGTTACAGAGATGAGAGGAAAAGAGAGGAGTTGGCCTCTCCTATGTCCTTTTGTCTTCCTCAGGTAGGGGGATGGGTATAGTAACCCGCCCAAGTAATAAACCTTCTGGCTAAATTTAAACTTTCCTATCTGAAATAAATAGTAATTGTTTCAAATATCTAACTCTAGTATTTGTTTAGATCAGTGGAGCAAAAATTCCTTTGCTTGTCCTCAGGTCAGAGCCGGACATTAAGTATTCAAACTGGGGAGTTTTGTCCTTGATCTTCCATTAGACTGTCACAGTGATGTTAGCCATGGCTAGCCAACCCTCTGGCAGTTTTCAGGGATTAGAGCCGGCATCACGTGTGATCGCGTTACAGGAATTGGTCCTGTGATTAATATGCATTCATTCTTTTAACGCGTCAAGGTTTCCAGATTTATCGCGAGTTTTGACACGTTAATGTTGACAACTACGGAGCCCCTAAAGGGTCATGGAAAAAACAAAAAGTATCTTGTGCGCACGATATACTTTCTCGTTTGCATGATCGTTTACCGGTGCCCCAAGTAGGAAGTGGAGCACACAGGAGACGACCGTTTCTGTTATGTTTATGTGGGGAAATGGCATTGCATATATCATATATATATATTATTTGAGATATATTTCAAACGCGGACTTCATTTTAAGGACATTTCGGCCAGGGGTGTAGAGATATTTGTTTAAGCACCGGATTCACAAAACAGGAGAGTCTGTGGACCAGTCTGCCTTGATCTATGAATGAAGAGATGTGCCTTCTATGCACCGCCTTCACTTCATTAGAACAGTTGAAGAGAGACGAGGCTGCTACGTTATAACCACACACACCTCTACACACACACACACACACCTCTACACACATCGAACTGCCCGATTATTCCCCCTATTACTCGTTTTATGAAGGACATGTCCGGTCACCAGGGCGCATGATGTGTGTGTGTGTGTGTTTGTGCTCTGCTCAGCTCCGCTCTGTGTTTGTGTGTGTCCGACACCAGCATTTGTTTTCAAATTACCATGAACAGTAATTTACACACATCTGGCCAACTCCATAGGTCCATAGGTGTGTGTTCCCAAGTGAAAGAAGTTTGTATAATCTTAATCTCGATTTAGTGTTAGAGTGCACCGGAACAAACAACACCATCAGAATATCTTCTGAAAACAAATGCCATTGACACACACACACACACACACACACACACACACACACACACACACACACCAGTGACGTGCAGTCAGTGGAGGCAGGGGAGGCAGAGCCTCACCTGTCATACTCCAATGTAACGGAAAAACAACTAAAGAAAAACGAAATAGTAATAATAATAAAATGTCTCCACTGATCTGTGTTGTAAGTGTGATTTATGTATGATTCTAATCGCTTTTTATAGTCAAAATCAGCAAATTTGCCGAGCTCCGCTACGGGAGCGATGACAAGTGAGGCAGGGGCGTGCTCTGCCTCTCGTAAGCCCACAGTAACTTGCTGGAGCGCGGGCACTAATGCAGCGCGGGCACTTATTTTGTGAGCGCGCTCAAGCCATTTACTGTGGGCTGAGTTGAGGCACAGATGAGATCTGCCTCACCTCAGAATGCGTCACCCCACAGAAACTGGCTGGAAAGCGGGCCCTAAGCGCATGCCTGTTACCATCTCACTGTAGGTCACCAATGTAATGTTTGTAGATCCCTTTATTACATTTATCCTCGCCATCCATAGTCTCTAAATAACTTATTTCACGTATATATGATATTTAGGCTCGCTGGTATCAACGGCAATGAAAATGCACCAGGGGAGGCAGCCATAACCTCTGCCGCACTGAAGGGGGTGCACGTGAGCCCACAGGTTCTTGTTGCTACTGTAATTCTACGCAGAGACGGTAGACGTAACAACAAACTAGACTTTTGAAACTACAGGAAGATAAGGAGGACTTTTACAAAAAAGTAATAGAGATTGTTGTCCAGAAGGATAGCATGGACTTCATCTTCAAGTCAAGGTAAGACCACATTTGTAATGAAAATGGGATCTTACTAAGAAAGAACAATCCAATATTTAGATTTTGGGTATCCTTTTGTTGAACAGTCTGTTTAAAATGAATCGAAGCATCAGACTAAAAAAGCTTTTGAAAATAACCGAATATTTCGATTAAGGTCAAAATATAATATTTGTAAATCTGACTCAGTGCCTCACCAGCCATGAACCTCACCGCACGTCACTCACACACACACACACACACACACACACACACACACACATCACACACACACGCGCGCGCACACACACACACACCACACACACACACACACACACACACACCACACAAACCACACACACACACACACACACACACACACACACACACGTGAGGGAAACTTCTGAAGCAATTGGAAACAGGACTCGGTGAGACACGAGGAGAGCTGGAGCTTTGATGGCAAACACTGACGGTTTATTTGGAGCTTGACACAGGTTGAGATGCAAGCACTCTACCCCAGACTCATGTATTTAGCTAGTTCTGAGAGGAGAATCAACATTGTGCATAACAAGATAGAACTATAACACCTCTATCAGCTGACGCCAACAGGCAGGAACAGGGAGACACACACACACACACACACACAGCACACGCCGGACACACGACACACACACACACACACACACACACACACCCACACACACACAACACACAACTCACCCACACACACACACACACACACACACACCAACACACACACACACACACACACAGTGAAGGCGGTGTGTAAAGGCACATCTCTCCTACTTGGTGAACCGGTTACTTTCTCGAGCGCACAAGATACTCTTTTTATTTTTTTTCATGACCCTTTAGGGCAGGGGTTGCCCAACCTTTTTTTTTACCAAGTGCTAGCGAACTGTCAACTGGGGGATGGCATCGCTGCGGGGAAAGGCGGACCTCTGCAACTTTTAAAAACATAAAAATGTAGGGCCGGCGACGCCCGTCAGCGAACGAGCCGGCCATCGTCGACCGGCCGTTCTGTGATTCTCCAGATTCTCCCGATGGCCAGTCTGCGGAGGGTGGAAAAATACATACCGGAAGTAAACAAAGACGTGCAACGGGAAGGTGTTCCCACGGGAAACAAAACTTAAAATATTAAATGAAACAATCTCATCTCTTAAAATTCACAACTTATTATGAATTAAACATTCACAAACTTATAATTATGTATTCACATGTTTAACTCTGTTACATATGCACGCAACGAACAGAAGAGCGTAGGGCAGAATTAGGAGGGAATTCCGTCTCGTAGCGTTTGTGGATCGTTTTGAAATGCCGCTCTAAATGACCCTTCTTCGGTAAAGCCACGCTCGCATTGCAGATGAGACAGATGGACTTTGAATTGGAATAAACAAAAAAATAATCATCCTCCCACTCGGAGTGAAAATGATATATTTTGGGCTTTTTTGCTTCTGCCATAATTGCGGTCTTGTGTGTGTGCGGTCTGTCACTCCTGTTGACATGGACAACGTCAGCTAACTAGTGCCCACTGCCCACCAGCCACGCCCGACACATGGGGTCACGCCAATCACAAAGCTTTGATGTGTTCAAGTGCATTATTCTGGCACAGGAAGATTATGTTATAGGACATTAATGATAAAACTGAATATTGTTGTTCTATTTTTAGACACACCTTGCGATCGACTGGGAATCTCCCTGGTCGATCGCGATCGACTGGTTAGGCATCCCTGCTTTAGGGGCTCTGTAAACAACCCTAATAAATATATTAAAAAAGTGTTGGAGAATTGGAATTTCATCCAAAAATATCTAACCTATACACTTTAATTAATCTACTCACATATGTCCTCATGATGTTATTCTTAATTGATTGTAATTCAAATATCTCTGTAGAGCAGGTCTGTCAACATGTTGTTTTAAATTGATCAAAATGTCCTGTTTCTGAAGGTTGTTAAACACAGACGTGCTGTGAACATCCCAATCTCCTCCGACTGTGAGCTGGACATTGATCACAGTTACAGTGTGCACTGTGAACCTGAGGGCTTCTTCATTCAGCCTGAGGTGAGTCACTGATACTCCTCTGAAGAAACACAATGATCATTAACACACATTTATCTGCATGTGGATTCACAATCAGGAAAGATCCAGATAAACATTTAACTTCTGCTTCTGGTTTCCAGAGTAAAACATTTGATTCCAGGTTTGGACCAAACTACTACCTGGCATTTCTAGTTTCCCTGACGACGAGCACAGAGAGAGTGGTTTTGAAGGTCAAGGACCAAGGTGGAAACGTAGTCTGGTATTGTCGCGTGTCACTGGAAGGTAAAGACTCCACCTGAGCTCAGACCCAGTGATAGACTGGATAACTCTAAAGCTCCATCTCATAGCATTCTCTATTTGATTAAAATTACACATCTCTCTGAACCATTTGCGATAATGTTTGTACACAACTCAACAAAATATAAATAATACAGTTGTAGGAGTTTTTATACATTTTAATGAGGAAATGTTACATATTATAACTTTAAGTGAACAGGAATCCCCCTCTGGGAATGTCGAGATACTTTAATTTTTAAGAGATCTGTTTAATGTGATTGTTGGTTAACAAAAGTATTTTCCCTATTTATCTTCCAGATCCAAGGAATGAATTGTCCCAGAGAAATGTCCCAGCAGAGAGCAGAGTCTCAGCAGTGATCATAGACCCAGCAGAGAGCAGCGTCCCAGCAGAGAGCAGAGTCCCAGCAGTGATCATAGACCCAGCAGAGATCATAGTCCAAGCAGAGAACAGAGTCCCAGCTGTGAGCAGAGTCCCTGCAGTGAGCAGAGTCCCAGCAGAGAGCAGAGTCCCAGCAGTGAGCAGAGTCCCAGCAGTGAGCAGAGTCCCAGCAGAGAGCAGAGTCCCAGCAGAGATCAGAGTCCCAGTAGTCGAGTGGCTGTTCTCAGTTCGGACAGAGTTCATTCGCAGAGTGACTCCAACTCTCCTGAATGACCTTCTGGATAAACTCTTTCAGTCTGGAGTCATCAATGAATCTGAAATGACGTCGGCCAGAACCAAACCCCAAAATGACGGAGCACGAGAGGTGGTGGACGCGGTGCGAAGAAAAGGAGCTGCAGCCAGCAGGGTTCTGATCAATGCTCTCCGTGAGCTGGACCCGTATCTTTACGAAGAGCTCAACTTGAGCTGAGGCAAAACCTTGTGGAGTGTGTGTGTGACAGTTGAAGTCTAGTCCTCTGTTTTGTTACCTGTACATGTTTCCACTTGTCCTTGAAGGTAACACAGATTCTGAGCGAAGAACACTTTCCTTCTCTCTTTTCTCCTGGACTCCCTCCTGAGAGCAGTTACCCGTATCGGCCTTCCTTTGGTATTATCTTGCGTTTTTTTCAAGTACATGTTTACTTTATTACATACAATACTTTAATTTACCAGCATCCATTGCATCCTTTCACATTTTTGTCAGGCATAGGAGCCGGGTTATGACAAAAATAAGGGCTTGTTCTTATTTTACCAATTGGTACTGACTTCTGGGTAAGATTTGGGATTTTGGGGCATTTTGTACCTATGCATGCGATTTGGAGTTTTATTTGTTTTGTATTATCAAACTGCAAAAACCTGTACCTGTTTGTGCTGGTGAATGTAAATATAATATACTTAGGTAGTGAATTAAACCCAGTGGTGTTCAGTAACTAAGTACATTTACTCAAGCACTGTACTTATGTACAATTCTGAAATACTTGTACTTTACTTGAGTATCTCAATATTTTGCTACTTCGTACTTCTACCCAGTGGCGGCTGGCCCATAGGGGGCGATATGGCGCCGCCCTCCCTAAACCCAAGCCCCCAGGAAGTGTCGTTGTGTCCAAACGGCGGTACTGCAACTTCCGTATCAGTCCGTGACGTCACCCGGCCCAAATATACTTTTTCCCATTGACTAACATTGGGAAAGAGACGTCTGTAAATCGGTGGATACTTTTTTTTTAACTCAATAAACTACCCGGTCCCAGTATGAACTATTGTATAGCCTTGATTAGAATCATTCGGTCCTTAAAGTTGTAAAAATGCACTAAAAGCTGAATCTAGATTTATATTCTCTCCATTCATTCTAGTGAGCCGAGAGTGGGCGCTCGGGGGGCGGGGATTAAGGGGCAACTCAACTGCGCATGCTCTATGAGCGCACATACGGGTACTTCTGCTCTGACAGTGAGGCATGACGGGTAATCTGTGACGTTTCGCTCTCTCAAAAGTTGGGCCATTTTGTCTTCATGCGCCAATGAGCAGCTCTCATGAGAACGTAAATCCATGCCTAAACCACACACACAAGGAAATGCTTTTATATTTTTAAACTTTATTTAAATTACTTTTCTTATACTGTGGCTGCTTCTCAATGTCAAGGAAGGATCCTTCAGAGCCTCCAAATAAATAATTAAAATGAATCTTGTTTGGACTTTGCCTCTTTTCTTGATATTTGTGGTTTATGCTACAATGTGCACCAATATGTGTAAAAGAGGTTTGCAGACATCAAGTATGATATATGAATACACATTGTATTATTGATTGGTGATGGTGATTTTATGATTTTCTTATGGCTGCTTATCCTCCAGGACTTTTTCAAGGCTGCAAACAGAAGGAGAACGTGTTATGTTAGTTTAGTGGTTCTCTCCTGGAGAGATGAACCTTTTACAAAATACAGTTACTCAAGTACATCTTCGATCTTCGCAAATCAGTTATGAGTCTTCAAACAAATCGCACTCAATTTAAGGCGGGGCCTCTCATATGACGCACACCTGCACACTTGCACACTTGCTAGCCTGTTCCATTCTTTGTTCTCCGAATGCTAGGAAGGATTCTTGCCGAGCTCAAACAAAAATATATTGTAATATATTGGTAAGTATAATACAATATACTGGATCATACATTTCCATATATGGGAAAGTAGTCCTTATATTTTTAAATATATTGCAATATATGCATGGACCATGTATGGCTATATATTGATACATATAAAAAAAAAATATTGCAATGAAAACAAAAACTGCACTATACATTTATATGTAATAGTTTTATTGAAACACTAATTTATCTTTCATGAGTTACACAAGTTTACATAAAATTGAACAGATATTCATAAACAGTTATCTCACTTCGTTTTGTATAGTTACCCACTTTATATATGAACATATGTTTGATGGTAGCCTATATATTAAAAAAGTACAAATTGTCCATTGAATGATGGAAAATAATATACAGTTTATAAATATATATAGACACACACATGTATGCACGCATATATATATGCATATATGCACGCATATATATATATGCATATATTACGGCCGACCGGCTATTTGGAGTGGAATGCAGCCCATCCACAGCAGACAGCCCAAACAGTATTCGAATGCGCCACTTCCGGCTGACAGTGGCTGACCTCCGTCTTCGCTAAACATAACTCTCTAAAACGTGTTAACGTTCTCATTGGACACATTACGTGCCAGTGATCATCACCAATCAATCTCACAGATTTCGGGGAGGCCCCCCCCCCTCTCCAGCAATAGATTGATCTGATTGGCAGATTCAAATCTGCGTTGCTGCCTCTGTCTGTTGATTCTGTCGCTGAGTGTCAAAGAGAAAGCATTCATCAGGTGCTTCGAAACGGAAAATTAAAAAGAAACGAGAGGAAAATACAGCACGAGAGTCAGGTATGTGTGTGAGCATTTAAAACTATTTTAAATTGAAATAATTCTGCATGTACACTACAAGTAGTCATGTTGCTTAATCCGTATGTCCCGTCTCTCGGCACTACAACAGCTACATTAGCTAACGTTAGTTAAATTAGCTATGTTAGTTCCCTCGTGTATGAGTGTATAACCGGTCCGCAGCTTTGTGAACATTCAATTTCGAAGATTTTCGATGTTACAGTCAACTGAAGTCGACCCAAAACAGCCTAAAAATAGCGGACCTTTAGATCGCTAACATTTTAGCATAAGTCAATGGAGTTTAACATAGCGAAAACTAGCCCCGCGGCTAACGGACATTTTCTGACTGGTGAAGATGATGAGCTAGTTAAGTAATGTAACCACAGTTAGTCTATGTGTTCTGATGTTAGTAACTATGTAGGCTAACATTAGTTAGGCTATGTGTTGTGGACTAATGCATTCAAGTTAGTTCACATTTTAGTTGTTATTGCCCCTGCTGACAATTGTGTGGATAATATGTAGCCAACAGTCAATGGCATTTCACATTTTGCTCTCCAGTGTATGTTATTTTAATGTTGATCCATAATACTATATATCTATATATTTTACAGGAGCATTGTTGAAATTCATAGGTCGAACTAAGCCTGCAGAACCACAAGTCAAGAGGACAGAGGAGCCAGATAGCAGTGGTGACTGAGACAGAATAAATAAGGAGAGAGGGCCCATGCAGAGAGGCAGACATCAGTAGTGAGGAATCTGACCCAAAAGACACGAGGACAGAGGAGCCAGATCGCAGTGGTGAGGAACGCACTGTCATTTAATTTCACTGTAATTTTACTTTTCACATATCACTTTATTCACTATTCAGCTTAGTTATCCTTGCCATGAAGGAATGAATGATTGAATGGATGAATGTTCTATATTATTTTAATGACAGATTGAACCACAGCAATATTGTTTTAGAGATTTTATATGTTTAACTGCTATGCCTGTCATCTCTGCTCTGTGTCATTGTGTTGTCTCCTGGGCAGTGGCGGCGCCAGAGCATTTTTGTTGGGTAATCTATGGTAGGGCTAACCCATACAGTGGTGGTGCTCAAGTCAGTATTTGCAATGTAATTACATACACGCTATATCGCCCCCCTTGACAGTGAAACGCCACGCGTGAGGTTTAGATTATTTCCCTGTCTCAATCAAAATGGAACTGTATGAAATAAAACGGCACATTTGTCTTGTAGTAAATAAAAAGGGATCACTGTGAACGTGACGTATGATAGTACACGTTGAAGATCCAATGGGGATACTGAATGGCGGTTTCGATTGATCTCAATCAATAAGGCATGACGCAGATCCAACGTTGCGTTGCTCTGATTGGCTGTAGGTCTATTCAAATTGCATTCGGAGGCATTTTGATCTGACCGCGGCCGCGCTGATATTATAACGCCAGAGAATTTCCACACCTTTAGTGTATAAAACTCCCCCACTACTTAGACTATTCCTTGCACCCCTCTTATAGCATAAGCCCGAATGGTCTCAACCATATTGCATCAGTAACGTGCACTGCACTTGTTACAGCAGGATCAGTTTGTGTGCTGTGGAGACGACCCGTATATTTTCGCAATCCGTGTTCTCAACATTTAGCATTTCGCTTATTATTTAATTGAATTTGCATCACTTTTCATGGTGGGGCTAAGGTGGGGCTAAGCCATTTCTTGGTATGGCTGTAGCCTACCCCAGCCATACCCTGGCGCCGCCACTGCTCCTGGGTTCTGTAGTGCCCGGAGTCTGTCTTTTTATTTTTTTCCTCCCAAACCCCATCCCCTCAGGACGCCTTTTGCCTCCTGTCAGGTCATCATTGTAATAAGAATTTGTTCTTAATTGATTTTCCTGGCTAAATAAAGGTTCTACTACTATTTATTCAGTTATTTTATTACTGGTACTGCTAATTGCACTATGCGTATTGTTGTATATTGTATATACGTATGTATTTACTACTACTACTTACAAAATCGAGGGTTGTAGCTTTGTGTCAGTACGTATTTCAGGGTTTTTCTATGCCTTTGTTAATCTAAATTCTAATACTCATAGGCGACTACAACTCCTGCCGATGCCGAGGCCCAGTTCTCCCTTCCCACCACCCACTCATTGTGCTAGGTAAAACTCTCATTCAATAAAAGTAGTCTTTTAAAGGTGGGGTAGGTCATTTTGGAGAAACCAGCTTGGGTGCGCTAGAATTTGAAAATACACAGCCGGAAAAAATCTGCCACTTCCTTACAGAGCCCCTCCTCCAACACACACAAACGTGCACATGACCAATGAGGGCACGAGATAAGTTTGTGCACAGATGGAAGGCTGACAGGCAGGTAGGCCATCCAGTCATTTCAGCCGGGCCAGCTAAAATGATTGGTCGTGCTTTTTACAGTACTACGGCTTCCACAGATGATATTTTTTTATGGATTTTTTGTCAAAGCACTTAAGATATTCATTGCTATTGG